ATAACTTTAACTGCTTCCTCAAGAAACGCAATCATCAGTTTTGGGATTGCATTAAAACGTAGCTTATTTACATACAAAAGTAGAATTTTCAACATTTTTACAAAGGAGACATTGCATCTTATTCTTCTGGAATAATAATTCTGCGAGTTAAAAGATGCATTTTGAAATCTGCTTTTGAGAATACAGATATTTTGAGGGTATTTGTATACAGACCCCTAAAATTTTAATTAATGCTTTTAGAAGGATGGCTTTTTCAGTCGCTTGACGAATAAGGCTATAAAAGAGAATTCTATTTCAATGACATAGTATCTACGGCGTCAGTATAAAAACAAATTTAACAAATTTCTCACCAAAATATGTTACGAGACATATTTCTCATAACCTGGAAGCCTATTTTATTATTTAACTATAAAAATGAGCTTACGAACAAGTGTTCAAAAACTATAAGAATTCATACAATCCTTTTGAAACAATCTACGCTACCCGACATTGAAAATGCAACACCAAGAAGGAGTGGCCATATAGAGAGGAAACTCGGTAAACAGAGAGAGACAGCAACGAACGACAAGCAAGTTTTATTTCGAAATGATATACATAATGCAGAGTGAGAACAGCGTCGGCTGAGTAGGTTGTAAGACCACTTGGACGGCGGTACACGAAGCAACACGTCTAGGTACAGAGTCAATGATTTTACGAATGTTGTTTATTCCCTCTCAACCATTTGCCACAGTTCGTCTTCTGAATACGGCAGTGCAGGTTTTGAAAATGGCGTCCAATCACATGCCAAATGTGTTTGATTGGTGAGAGATCAGGAGAGAACCGTGGGCAGGGAAGCATCTGTACACCTTGCAGAGCATGTTGGCTGATGCTAGCAGTGTGTAGTCAGGAGTCATTCTGCTGATAAAGGGCACTATGCACTCTCTGAAGGCAAGGGAGTGTCCCCGGCCGTACCACACTAAATGGGCCTTTATAGCGCTCCGAATATGAACTAGAGATGACCTGGAATCGTAGGTTTACATAACTGCGCTCAAACCCATGATGCCGAGTTGTCGTGTGGTGGGCGTTCCACAATTGCTACCGGATAGGACCTGCTTCCACACCCAAAACACATTCGTATGCGGTGACTATCATTGGAGAAACAGAAACGTGACTCATCTGAGAACACGACCCTGTGCTATTCCGTCGTCCAAACCGCTGAAGTCCGGCACCATTGCAGACTTTGGCGTCTGTGATGTGGAGTCAATGGCAATCTTCTTAACGGACGCCATAAGTGCAAGCCATAAGCTGCGAGTAGCCGCTTAAGCTATTCGCACCAACATTAACCACGTATGCGCATTGAGTTGTCAGATCCGTCATTTGAACCAAATCGAAAAGAACGGATTCTACGTACGTACGGGAACTGCCTAAGTGTTACTGTAGTGAATCCATTTTTTTAATGGCAGGTAAAACCTTGGGGTAGTTTATCAATTTTTAAGAGTTGGCGACTTTCAAAAGTTTAAAAAGAAAATGGGTTCGTTTTCTTATGAAAAGAAGGAACACATTTCCTTTTATTATATCTATTTATATATTATATATGGCAGATTTTTACAAACGAAAGGGCAAATTATTTTATGTCGCCAACGTTATCGTTTCCTGAAGGTTGGAAAGTTTAAATGAATGAATTTGGGGGGGGTTACAATATGTGTTTACATTTTTTGGGCTTCTAGAATACATAGCTTCAAAGAATGTTTTGCGGAAATCAGATTTTAATTCATTCCTCTTTGAAATTTTCGTCGAGCGAAATAATAATAAACATAGACAGAGGATTCTGTGTAGAAAATTTAGACATGAATAGTAAAAAACGATTGATCAATATTAAAAAAGAATAATATATAATTCTAGCTATTAACAATCTGAGCCGTTTATTTTTGTTATGGAAATACTGCCATTCTCAAGACACAAAAAATACTTAAAGAAAAAGAATTGTAAATTAATTTAAAAAACATTAAAAATAAAAATTAATAATTGGGATCACTTCAAAGACAGAAATAATTTACTGTAAGAGATTTGATTTAAAAAATGCACACACAAATGATTATAGATTTTATAAGGTTTTATTCCTAAATATCTTTGAATTGAATATGGATTTGAACCATAAACATGAGTGGATACTGAAAAAGTGATGAATATATGTGAAGATTATAATTTTGTAAGTCTCTTATTGAATAATAAATATGTCAGCCTGGCATAAGACTAGGTTTGCATAAAATATTCCTCTGTTAAATAAAAGAGTTTAGTAAGTTCTGTAGCCTTTTGGTCAATACATTAAAGATTTTTTAACTAATTACCGTCCTCGTTGCAATTAGACCATCTTAAATCCCTATTTTATTAATCCTTCCTGAACCGGTATGTACAGCTGACCTCGTCTTGTAACTGATAATTATACTGCAATTATTGTTGCTGTATAAAACCCTTTATGCTGAGAGTGTAACATCCTTCGCTCTGCTACCGCTACCTACGGAATCGGCCGTACACTGCTGGTACTGGGCCACTGCGGGAACATGTAGATGTCTTGACCGCTGCAGATGGAAGTAGATGTGGCTTGCGGGTTGTGCCACGCTTTCGACGGATGCGTCAATCCACGCTTTTTTGTAGGACTCCTGGATGACCGGAACTTGCACCTTCTGTTCCAACCATCGTCACCAAGCACGGTGTGGATGGTCCAGGTTGTGACAATGATTTGCCGTATGGAACAAACATCCTTTCCAACCGCTCAAATACCCTGTAAAATTGTTGTGTGTGATCTGCCGCGGTGACCCGGTGTTGGTGGAGCTTCTATTACGCGCGTCTCTGAGATAAATAACTGTTACGAAAATTGAACATTTGAAGGTTCCTTCCTTATCTTCTTCAACGTGCGCTGGAGAGTTGCGCATTTGACATCATTCGTAAATTTTCATAAATTATTAATTTAAGAAAATATTAATTAAATAATAATTAATTAATATATAATATTAATATAATAATATTAAAAATAATTATTTCGTAAATTCGCATTTTAATTTCAGGGTTACGTGCGTCTACCCTGAAATTAGCATAATGTTCGGGCCACTCCTTCTGGGTGTTGCAATTTCAATGTCGGGTAACGTATTTACACAGGGTGCTGAATATCAAAGAAGTCCTTTACAGAAACAGGAAGCGTACATACAGTGCAATCCAAAAGTTAAAAAGCAGCATGTTTTTTGTGCCTAATTTGAGAATGAAACAACATAAAAACAAGAAATGTACAGTATATGTTCACTAAACAGTTTTTTATTGAATGCGACATAGCGTATTTCTAAAGTTTAACACAAACATGAATTACAACCAAAAATTGCACTGTTAGCAGAGAAGTCCAGTTTTGGAGAAACTGTATATCACCGTTTTTTTGAGGAAAAATAAGGTGATAGCAATTACAAAAATGTGTTCTAATAAGGAATGTGTCTAGGCCTAGCTGCAATACATTGGCGCCAGCGAAGTTACATACTTTCAATTAAGTTGTTGGTCAGTGAAATGGGAAGCAACAACGAGACATGGAGTAATCCTTGTTCAAGCTCACCTAACGACCTTGAAGGAGGACTTGAAGCAGCAACCTGTCTCCCAAGGTACTCCCAATGAGGCTCTATCTGATTCAGGTCTGAGGATTGAGCTGGACATTCCATCCGCTCCGTATCGTGACCCTCAGTATATTCTTCAGAAACCCGAGCTCTGTGCGGTCTTGCATTGTCATCCATCAGGGGAAATCCAGAACCAATAGCAGCTGCATATGGATGAAAATATTGATTAAGGATCTCATCTCGATATCTCACACCGGTCAAAGTTTCTCCGTGAAACACATGCAGGTCAGTGTGACCACCGAGAGTGATCCCAGCCCAAACCATTATTCTATCCCCTCTGTAACTGTGGCTTTCCACAATGTAGGATTGGTTGCATCTAATGAGTTGTTCCCTCCAGATCAGCTGACGACCTGAATCACACTCCTATGCATAGACGTTCATTGCTGACTGGTCCAGGAGACATCTTCTCTTGCCCAACATAAACGGGCACCTCTGTGTCCGTTTATGTTGGGCAAGAGAAGATCAAGGGTTCTCTGGTCAAGGGGACACAAACAACTGTTCGTCTTGCATACAGGTGAGAGCAGGGTCCGGACACCTGGGCGGCTTTTACTGACTATTCGGGTATCGTTCGAATCCCGCAACTGTCCAGAAGAAAAATATTGCAAACAGGGGCAGATGGAGGAAAACAGAGGTATTGCGGATTCCTACAATAACAAGCGGTATCAATGTGCATTGCTAAATATTATGTCAATCTAAGCTATATATATTACATTAATATTACTGCATACAATACATTTAATACACAGATAACATAAAGGTGCATCGATATATTGATAACACGTACATTTAGTGCACTCGATTAATCCTACAGTAAAAAACGTACCAAAAAACTAAGACATTTTTGGAGAGCATCCAATGCGCATACGCAACTTATGTATATACATTATACATCAAAACATACAAGCATTACATTGATCCATACATAACATGAAGGTGCATTCGATATTAATATATTTATATAATTAACATTATAGTACCTCGATATATTAATACTACTATGATAAAATTTGCTAAACTTACAGACATATTGCAAGCTGTACCAGTCACTTACGCAGCTTATAACTATACATAAATAATAACAGGCCACATACCTTACAGTATACTGCGTACATAAAAGGTTTTCGATACCCTTAATAGGTGCACTGGATATATTAGTGCTTTCAATAATAAAAATTTCTATTTACAGACATTCTAGTGCAAATTGTACACTTATAACATATATATCGTTGCATTTACAATAATAGTCAGCATACAACAACATTATATAGATAATATGGCATTCCCTATTCGATTAGATTGAGAATTAAAGTTATGCATTGACATTGCATTAACTGGTATAAAGATATTATCCATGAAGGATTAGGACTCCTATGGCTGGATGGTATCGTGTTCCGCACTGCTGAATTCAGTGCCTAGCGCTTCGAGTTTTTGCATCATTAATCGTACTTTTCTCTGTATTAAAGGTTGCTTGACCATGAATCTTTCGTCGGCAACTGTATTTGTAGTTGGCAGAGCGTGGTGGATGTCTCGTGTAAGTGGACATGATGTCAGATAATGATCAGGCTTGGCCACATCTCCACAGACGTTGGTAGTTCTTAGGCGCCTATAATAAAAGTAACTGGGAAATGGCCCGTGTCCAGTAACGAAGCGCGTTATATGCGAGTCTGAAATTAACCTGTCTGTACTGACCCTGTGGAAGAAATCGTACGTGCGTCTGCCCTGTGGAATGGAATCCCAGTTCTCTTGCCAGTGGATTAGAGCATCCTTCCACGTTGTTCTTTTAATGCTGCTTTTGGGAAGCAGCACCTCTATTTGCTGCGCATCTATGTTCTGCACGGCCTCCTTTGCGAGTAAGTCCGCCTCCTCATTTCCCTGGTGCCCAAAATGAGCTTTAATCCAGGATATGGGGAGTGGAGATGCCGACGATCTAGCTCTCAGGAGTGCTTGGATTTCTGCAATAAGTGGGCTGGGATGATGAGGATTCCTTATTGCAAAGATGGCCGATTGGCTGTCGGTGTAAATGCGAAAAGAATTTTGGCTGTTAGTGGCTGCATAAGACAGTGCATGTTTCAGGGTTGCTGCTTCTGCCTGGAAAACAGAGTTGTTACCTTTCAGATTCCCTTTCCATGCTGCGAGGGTATCCCCTTGCCTCTTGGCGATGAAGCTGCACCCCACCTGGTTGTCAATCTTCGAGCCATCTGTATAAATGCATACTTTTGAGTTATCCTCTCTGCAGGCGATGTAGTCGATATGCGCATGCACTCCTCTGTCATATTCTGCGGGATGAACTAGTCGTACTGTTCTTTTCTCTTCTAAGTGTGCAGGGATATAATGCTGCTTCCTGTAAAAAGACTGCTGTCTTAATAAGGTGACTTGCGTAATCGCTGCCTCTTGTTCCGCTTTAATGTGAAGTGGCATTATGCCCGCGAGCACTGCTGCCGCCATCGTTGCGGTTGTGTGGTACGCCTTTGTAATGGAAAGTGCATAGGGTCTTTGTATGCTGCTTAGGACATTCAATTTCCTGGAGCTCATTGGAGTTGACCAGACTGCTGCTGCGAAGGTTGCTATTTTTCAATTACCGTACAGTACAGGATCTTCAAGATGTGCGGACGGAGACCCCAATCTGCTCCTTGCATCCTCTTTAGATTTTTGGCGATAGCATGGGTCTTCAGTCTCACCTCCTTTAGGTGCGGGATCCAGGTGAGTTTCTCGTCTATTGTGAGGCCCAGAATATAGAACTGCATTTTTCAGGAATCTGCGCACTGTAGTAGCTAAGATACTTGCTCCTGTTGCCACTAAATAATCTGCCATGAGGGGTGGCACAGTAATGTTACTCCTCCTTCGGACCGAAAGAGCTAAATAATAGTCTCCCGCAGGTGTTGCTTTAGGTCTGCCTGGAACATGTCTTCTAGACACAAATCCTCGTATCCAAACTGATTCCATAGTTTGTGGACCACACTACGAGAGACATTGAGACGTCTAGCGGCATCAGCTTGTGACATTCCCATTTCCATCCATCCGTTAGCTCGCCACCTCAACGAATCGGGCAAACGACTTCTAGACATTGATAGAATCTCCTGGACATTATCCACAAAACTGTAATAACAACTGAAGATCAACACCCGTGAACAAAATTTACAATGTTTGCATTTTTTCTTCGACTCCTATAGAAGCATTCATTTTTATAAAATAAAAGTGATAACTATTGTTTTTGTAGATATTTTCTTAAACTTCGTTACTGTCATGCACATGAACTGAGAATTCAAACTTTGTATAACGCTTGCAAGGTTTAACGCTTGCAAGTTGAGTGTATCTTTATGAACACAGTTTATTCTAAAGCTCTGCTACAAATAGTAATTTATATTGATTACAGCTGGAGAACTTTGTAGTCAAGATTTTGTCGCTGAAAAACTTTTCCAGCATCTTCATTGTGTTGTGAATTGCATGTCATTTTGCGGCATGGGACCGCGCAGATGGGACAGTGGATAGCGACTCTAGCTGACGTACCGTAGAATCCGGGTTCGAATTCGGAAGAAGGTATGAATGTTTGTAAATATATAATCTCTTTGCGGCAGGGGGGGACTATAAATATTCAGCAAGCCAAAAGTCTTCTCATGTTATTTAGTGGTAGCGGAGAAAGGTGGGAGACCATCGGACTACCCCCTGAGGTGCTGTCCCTTGAAATTGGGGTGGAAGTAGAAGTCCACCCTCCTCGAGGTTCTGGCAACCATTCTTCCATCAAATATGAACTCGACAATAAATATCATATTACTATATCCTGGATTGATTTTTTTATTTTCCTGCAGTAAGGCAATGAACCACCAGAATATATCATGGTAGCTCTCAACGTCTCTTGTTGGTTCAAATAAGTGCCCGAGAGTTCAAGAGTTCACATGTTCTGTGATTTTGGAAACTGATATTATCATTTCCATGGAGCCATGCCTCATACATAAAATACATCTGGTCTAAAATGAAAACATTGCTACAACTGAAGTTTTTATCGAACAACAATCAGAGATGTGGCACACAGTGCCATAGCGTTCAGCACATATTCTCCACAAAAGACTTGTCAAACTCCTTTCGGTTTATGAAGAATTCATCTTCCTCTTACTATACTGGTTTCTCAGAGATATAAGAACCGGAGAACTATAAATAACAAATTATGCAGGAAATTAATATAACCTTAAATTTGCAATTCCCTTTTAAATCGGTTATTAATCACTGTGTGTATAAATGTATACGCGTTTAATTCAAGTCTGTAAATAAAAAATTATTTTAATTTTATAAATGGTAATCAAGGCTAATCAGGTAAAAATACTTTTGAAATCGGTAGAATTTTTATTTCACGATTGATAAAAGTACAAATATAAGTACATTTAAATATCTTCTGAATACGTTAAAATTAATAAATCTTTCGAAACATTTCTCATTCTATCTACGACGTATAAACTCTAAATACACTGAAATGCCCTTTACATTCTATTGCTATTTATTGCAAGTGATACAGAGCTTAAGAAAGAGTCACGCTATAACCTGGAAACTTTCTATTCGCGTGCGTCCATTCGAAACACTTTCTTCAACTTATGTGAGAACTTGGACGAAACGAGAATCTGGCTTAGCAACAGTTCGGATCTATTCGTGACACAGTTTCATTTCATTCATTTCAGAGTTCTGAAGCCTATCACGTAATGATCTTCAATATTTTCTGCTTTACTTAAAATTATGTAAAACAGCAAACTTTTTTTTGGCCTAGAATTTAACCAAAGCTCTATCGATTTCGAGAGCGATCAAATACGGGTCTCTCTTCTAAGGAGAAAAAAAAAAGAAAACAAATTCTAATTACTTTACATAAATAAAAATATATTTTTAAATGTGCAATCTTTGCTTAAAAAATAGACTAAATAAAAAGCCAATTGCTTCATTTGTATCAGAATTATTATATTGGTAATTTAATGGAAAAGGCGCTAATTATCTGAACGGGCGCCATGTCTTACTAATTTAGATGTGCGGAGTTCTACTGCATAGTTGTTGCTAACCTCCTGTCCAATTTATGGGCAGAAAACTTCGTTAATAATCAAACGTTAGTCAAAGCGAGCGTTTATCATCAACCTTGAAATGGTTGACCTTGATATTATCGGTGATAATGATTTGGGCAACTTCTCGCAAGTGTTTATTAAAAAAATTTGATAGGCTGAAATCAGAATGCCTTGTACCTTTCAGATTCTGCCTGAGCAGAGGATTTTCAAAACGATGAATTTTAAAGATCTAACTCTGCAAAGACGGAGTATGAAAATCTACGATCACAAGCATCCATTCATTGTTTGGAGCATGGATATGAGCAGAGCGTAAGAGCAGCTTCCATTTATCATCAGTTAGTGCGACGGAGATTTAATTAGTGGCGACAAAATATTTACCAATAAAAATGTTGGGTAGTTTCTTTGTCAATGTCAATGTTCTCTTTTCGAGGAATATATATTTTGCTCTCGGCTCATAAGTAACCACATAAGTTACGTTAATTGAAGATGACAAAACACACGAAGGCTATCTGCCTAAGGGAAAATTTGCTAAGGGAAACTTACTGGTATCTCTGTTATACATGGGAAAGTGCGATCTCAGGCTGAACTGTAGTATTCAGCGGTCTTAACCACTCAGCAACTGGTGGAAAGTAAATAACTAGAAACGCCATGTAAGAAGTACTTTTTTTACATTAATATTTCGGACATTTTAAAGTAATTTGCTGATATTACACGTTACACATGTGAAACTATGAAAATTTTGTAATCCAGCATGTTTGTCGGGATTCAGATCACGACAAACATGCTGGATTACACAATTAGCTCCCATTATTTAGTGATCTTCCGCTCGACAGCTGGTGAGTTTAAGAAAATCAGTTAGATTCTGAATCAAATTTAGGCATATACCTGCATTTTAAACACTGAACCAGATAATGCTTATATAGTGACAAAGAAACCATCTTATCTTTTTCATATTTAGAAACAAATGTATTTTGCTTTTCAGAAAAATTTTATAATTACGGATTTCCCAATATTAATAAACTAATTTTTGCAACTAAGCTCTAGTTTGTATTAATGTTTGTAATAGTTTGCAGAGCAAGAGTGAGTGAGTGGGCCGCTAAGATGGCTTCCGAACACGGAGCGTGAAGCCATTGGAACTGTATACCGTCCCAGGGGGGAAATCTACTACCTTTCGAAGTGTGGAAAAATAAATAATAATAACAATCTAGTGATATACAAATGATCCCAACATTTTGGGCAGCATAATTACTGTATGGGAATTGTATGGTAGCAAACATTACATTTCAAGATAAATTGTGTGAGGATGCTTGTTACTGTTAGGCATCCGATCCATACTAATGATTCTACAATCTCCATTGCAAATTATAAGTAAAACCATCTAACTTACTAAATCAATATGATACTACAGAGAAAGGTTGAAAAACAATACGCTATGGTACAAATGAAAATGTGAATGTAACGTAACAACATATAAATTCACCAAACATATATAAGCAGATAAATGCAAAATGTTATTGTATTTGACAATTGAAAACAATTCATTAAAAACAATATTTAAAAACAGATTTGCATATGTTATCTGTTTTATATTGTGTAGCTTACTATTCTAATACAATGTCCTCTTGTACAAAATGAACTAATTATTATTAAATAATACTAATATTTACTAACAGTGAAGAATAGTAGTGTAGCACAAGACTTATGCTACACTACTATTCTTTCCAATTGCAGTAAGGGAAAAAAGGTGTATATATTATATAATAATAATTATATACAACATATCTCGTTAACAGATATATAAAACCACTAGCTTTAAAGCTGCACTCATGTGCATAAACAATTGACTCCTAATACAGTTATATGTGTATTTAACCAATATTCTGAGTAGAACAAAGGGTTACTTATATACATTGTGTCAAGTTATATACAGAAGAGAAATGAAACCAATTCGTTAAATGTGGGGAGTAAAAGCTAAATACTAAAAATAATACCCTGTGCTGTGCTTGCTGCACATCTGAATGTTGCTAATGCTCCTTGCTTTTCTAATGCAATAACATGCTTGCGCAGTAGGGATCGAGTAAAAAGAAGTGTTGTGTAGAACTAAATATAAATATAAAAAATACTAAATAAGAAATATTTGAAGTTCCTTAATTATGCTACAAATTTTGATAATAAAATACCAAATTTTTAATCTTATTTTTTCTTAGTGAACATTTAATAATAATGTACAAATGTAACCGTAATTACACGTACTCAGGTTCGATTTGCATAATAATAATTTTAATTTCCTTACTGTATTTTACAGAAACATATTATTAAAATTTCCATGTGCTTAGATACTTAATTTCATTGTTTTATAGTAACCATTAAAAGTTTCATTAACATATGAAAATTACAAACAACATACAC